ACTGTCTGACAGCAAGTCTGGCAGCACTGCATAGCACTGAATGCATGTATGGCTGTACGGAGTGTTTGCATAGCTATGAGTGAATGCATTGACTGTTGTATTGACAACAAAATGGAGACACCATTGGACGAAACACTTGCATCAGTAGATCCACGACACACCTGATCTGTCGGTCACCACCACATCCACACTGATATGCAGTCATCGCCACAAGCATTCAATTGGTGTCTCATGTGTCCGAACCAGCAATAGTCCAAATGGTTGTCCACTTCAACCCACTGTTGCTCCCAATACTCGCATCACTTCTATGTCTCGATGTCTTGGCCGACGGTTTGCATCCAATTGTTTGCGACGATTGACCGCAAGATAGTGATGAGTGATGTGTTTGTGTTGCAGATCCGCCGCGAATCATAACAGCGCCCAAAGACCAGTTGGTAGTGTCCGGACGGGTGGCCACCTTCGTGTGCGCCGCCATCGGGACGCCTAAGCCTCAGATCGAGTGGAGGAAGAATGGCAAACGACTCGTCACTCAGAGATACACTGTTCTCGAGATCCCCAACGGATCTGTTCTTCGCATAGAACCCGTCAGAGCTGTGAGTATTGGTTCACTCGTCCTCTGCTGTCATTGCATTTTGACAGCTCATGAGTGGTCATCACAAACAGACAATCTCTGTGTCCATCACTTGAGTGCAGTTGTCTTTTGTAATGATGACACAATTGGGTGGAAATGGTGTTAATTATATGTATTTGTGGTCAGAATCGAGACAACGCTACGTATGAGTGTTTGGCAGAGAATGGTGTCGGAGAACCCGTCAGAGCACAGGCTGTTCTCAATGTCTTCTCCGGTATTATTGATTGAATATTTTAATGAAGTATTTATTGTATAATATTATGAATGAATTGACAGACGAAGACATCCCGAAAGGCTTCCCGCGGTTCTCACTGCAGCCTCACATGCAGGGCGTGGAAAGGGGTCGCAACGCCCTAATCCCGTGCAAGGCTGAGGGCGATCCTGACCCACACATCACGTGGTTTAAGGACATGATGCCAATAGACATGAGTAATACGCGGTATTCATACTATTCGGGCGCTTCCCTGCAGATAGTGGGCGCTGAAGAGCAAGACCAGGGACAGTATGAGTGCATCGCTGAGAACCGGGTGGGAACGGCGTACTCGGATTTGGCCACTCTGTACGTGAGGACTCGAGTGGTTCCGCCGTACTTCTCGATCCCACCCGAAAAGCAATACGAAGTAATGCCCGGAAGTGCTCTGAACCTGACGTGTGTTGCCGTCGGCTCTCCCATGCCTTACGTCAGTTGGAAGAGAGGTCTGACTGACTTGAATACCGCCGATAATATGCCGATCGGCAAGAATGTCCTCAAACTGGAGGACATCAGAGAAAGTGCTAATTGTATGTCCATTTTGTTTGCTTTGCGACAATCCATTGATTTTACTAAAATTGTCAATTCATGTCATAACAGACACCTGTATCGCACACTCAAAGCTCGGAAACATTGAGGCCTTAACACAGGTGTTGGTTCAGTCACTGCCGAGACCGCCAACCAATGTTCGGATATCAGACGTAACGCCCACTTCAGTGCGTCTGTCGTGGTCTTACGATATCGGCGCCGAGAATATCGTATATTTTGT